GCGTGCGCTGTATTCCTGGGAGTTGTGGATGGAGATAACGTAGCCTTGTAACTGCAAGTGACAACCACTGAGTCTGCCGCTGTGGCCTGACCCACCTCGGGGAGGAAAAGGGAGGAGGGGGCGAGGGCTGAGTCTGCCAGCTGCTTGTTAGGTAGGAAGTGTTTGCATCCTCTCTCTCATGCTGCACGAGCAGCTGTAAGATGACTTGTGAGGATGTGGGAGTGGCCGGCACCAATGAAATATGAGCAAAGCTTCGTCGTTCTCACACTCACACTGGTCACCAGTGGAACCGCTACTGGTAAATAAACCCCTTAAAGATGTCTCTGTTGTAAGAACTGAAACAGAACCAAGACAACAGGTGAGGTCTTTAACAGGTAATAAAATTCTTCTTGTGAATGTCCTGGATTCTTTTTAGCTCCACTCCTGAACTCTCATCTAGCTGCATAACATGCACACAGACCATAAACTGTGTTTAAAGAGGAACGTGTCTGGTGTGGGCTGCTGTCACAAGTCTGACTTGTCAGAGCTGACAGCTTAACTAGGTTTTAACAGATTTCACAGGATAATGACACAAGATTTACCCTGGTGATCCCTCAATATTCTACTGCTGGGGATATATTTGTGTAGCTGGGGAAGATTAGATGTGTTTGTTTATAGTCTGAGAGACTGAGGAGGGCTGGGTAGTAAACAGCCTAAACCAGGGGCAGGGGAAGTCAGCCAACACCAGCCAGCAGTCCAGGGACTTTGGAGGGACGATGCTAATAATAATAATATAAACAGGGAAACAAAATATATGATTATCAATAGACAGATTTCAATATGACACAAAGTCTGACTGAGTAAATAACTTGATTGAACTTTAACTATATAGAAAACATTTACTAAGAGCACACATACTCTTGATGGTACGTTCAACACTGTAGCTGTGTGGTGCATAATAAAACAGTTTGGAGGTTTTAGTTCTTTTTCCACTCATGTCACTTTAAGACAAGCAGTGTACAGTCAGTAAGAGCGCTGTTGTTAATGCTGTGAAATCGAAGCGCAGTATAACCTTCGGATCTGTCACAATCCTCAACCAGCACGAAGAAGCGAGGCAGTGAGGCAGGAGTGCATCTGCACAAAAAGCTGCAGACTTCTGTCCTCTAACTACCGAGGCTTAGCAGAGGAAACATCCCCCCACCAGCCCCCTGTTTTCTGAGGCACAAACAAACCTGTTTCTTTCAGACCTTCAGCTTGGCTGCTTCCTCAGCTCCTGAGCGTCTCTGTGACTTGCATTATAGTGAAGTCTCAAACCCGCTCACCACCAGTGCCAGCAACAAGACGCCATATCATCACCTTGAAGTCTTATAAAAAGCCAAGTGGGTTGCTTCAAAACAACCCAGCCTCAATTAGGTCCCTGTCTTATGAATATAGATGAATGAATGAAATTTACTGAAAGATAAACAACCGAGGAATGAAACGTGCACGAAGAAACCGTCAACGTTTCATTTTCTGTGCTCTGTTGTTTGACAGAGCTCAGACGCCTCAGCCCATAGTTACATGTATGAACTGACTGTGGTAAGCTGAGGTGTTTTAGGGGGTAAACCATTTATACCATTTATCATATTTGTGTGGCCAGTGCTTAAAGAGCTGATATGGCCAACACAATGTATTTCACCAATCCCATAAAGAAATGGCTGGATTTTCCTGCACAGCAGGGGGTCCGCTACAGAGGACCTTGCACTGGCTGCTCATTTACATTTCAAACACTGTCTATAACTGCAAGGGATTTGATGTTTTCCCTCTCCACTCAGCAGTCTTATTCCTTTCTAGCTATTTCTCCGGCAGCCATACTGTTTGTGTGTATGCAGTACCGCCAGCATGACTACCACAAAGCGCTTCTATCTTCTGCGCCTTTGACTGGCTTTGCTTCTATACTGTGCCAATACCATACGGCACTCACAGAGCCTGAATATTCAACCTCAAAGGCTGGACTGCTCATAGAGTTGCCTTTATAAACAGTGCATAACAGCCCTGTGTGCAGTTCACACCTGAATTTAACATGCCTTGTTGATGCACACTCAGTAGCCCGTTGGCCTGCTACAGCAGTGTATTCAGCAACATGGAGCTGCGTCTCCATGTGGTGAGAGCAAACGTGCTTTGTTTGTTTCCATAATCTGCTTGTCGATCACCTGAGGCCCAGCAAGCAGCTCGGCCTGCAGTGGAAGAGAGGCAGGAAGCCGGGGCCGAGGACAAAGCGGCACACTGAGCCTACTCTACCACAAGGAAGAGCCAGTTTCCCTCACAAGGTCAAGCTGTAGTGGAAATGTATAGCGTTTGGCACTATAGACACTGCCTGTCTCTGCATGTCCTTCATTCATGTTTGCAGTTACATTGCTAGATATTAATGTGAGTGGTCCCATGTATGACTGACTGGGATGAGAAACAGGCAGTGACACAAGTATGTCATCCCAACCAGAGGCCTGACACGTGTCAATTATGCTGACGGAGAGAGATAAAGAACTTTTCAGACCTGGTGCACCTCCTGAAAATCAAGATGGGATTACAAAAAGTGGAACTGAGAGGAGAAAAAGAAAAGAAGAGAAAGAGGGAGGAAATAGTTCTGGGGGAGGAAGTTCCTGTGACTTACTGGGATAAAAGTCACCGTGTAAAGTGATGACACAAAAAAGACAGATTACTGAATTAATTCAAATTACAATAATTTGGCAAGAAATCTCATTCATACTAGATGAAAATGTTTTGTTTTGGTTCCATAGCTAATACTATAAAATAATCTGTATTCAAATTATGCATCTACATTACTGTAAGTACCTAACTGAATAGTCAATGGACTGGGAGGTCAAACGAGTGCTCATTATCTGTGTCTTGTATTTAAAATTTAAATTACATTAATAATCAGCCTCCTTGAAAGTCCAGTGCTACTGTAATAACACAGTCTATAATACAGTGATCATTCAAAACAAGAATGCAATTATGAGGATGTAATGATGTTTGACAGATCTCCACCTCTGGGGCAATTAGTGTAAATACAAACATTGATTATATGACTGCACATTTAATATTCACTGTATAAACGGCCTGTGGTTGCTACGTTCCCTCTGGATTCACCTGGAGTTCATTGTGCGTTGTTGTCGGTTAAGAACAACAACAGGATTTAAGGCCTTAATGAGTGGATGGAAATAAAACCACATTTTTAAAATGGCCATCTCTAATGGTCATAGTAAAAAAAAAAAAATCACATGCTATAATAACCGGACACAGGGAAACCAAAACAAAAAAATATGAAACCTGAGAACCTGAACATGTGCACGCTTAGTCAGCAATGCTCTGACATTTAAATACCACATATTAATATGGGTTGAAACGCTGACATGAATACGAGGAGCAGGGCTCTGGCTCTGTCTAATACATGCAGGGCTGCGTCACTGGGGCTCTGGACAGATCTGGTCTCACTTCAAACACTCGTGGCTCCTCCACTGCGCACAGGATAGCCTGCAATAAAGAGCAGGTGCCAGGAGCATGGAGCGAGACGCGACACTATAGTTTGTGCACGTTACAACGCTGCAGCTGGGATTGTTTAGTACTACCCAAATGCGTTGTGTCAGTACGCACTCCAATAATAAACAGGCATAAATATGAAGTGAGCCAGGCGAATGGGGCCAATAATAACCACCGACAGTCACCACTTACCCAAAATCCTGGTCCATGGATTTGAAGAAGAATTTGTAGCTACTGACCGGTCGATTGTTGAGGACATTTTTAAAATCCGCTAAGGTGACTTTTTCTGGAGAAACGGACAGTTTGACCAGATAAGGAGTCTCTTCTTCGTCGATGTGATAAATTATTTTAGTCTCCGCCATGAGAGAGAGGGGAGGACAATTATTGACACAGGAAAGGAACAAGGGTTGGCAGCGCAATAAACAGGCCTGCTATGTTACCCGCAACCCGGAGAAAACATAACAGCATTCCCTAACACATAAGCCCGTATAACCCACGGTGGAAGATAAAGCTCTGTGTCTTTGGCAAACACAGCGGAAATCCAGACATAATGTCGTTATGTAGCCTATTCCTGCTCCAGTGTGAGTCGCTACGGTGGCTCTCTCGGCACTAAAACAGGAAGGGACAGTCCACATCCTTGCGATGTGGAGTTGGGAATATATTTTTCACATCTAATTGTTTAGACAGTGCTGTCATCTAGCGGTGTCTCGGAGCTGCGCGCAGGCCCGTGTGCGCTTCTTATACAACACACTCCTACTGTTCCACTGCGCAGTACGGGCGCACGAAGGACCGGAGAGGAAGTGCGCCGACAAGTCTGAACGTTCCCTCTTCGGGTTATTGCTGCGACTTCTCACAGTGGAATATCATGTTAAAAGGAAGAAATCATTCAAATTGAAATTAGTGCAACTTAGTTATTCAAAAAATAGTTTTTGGAATATGTAAAAGCCTACTGTGGATACCTGGCTGGATTAGTTCCCCATAAAAATACATATACATATACAAATTCCCGAGTTTAAACCCTATGAAACAATATATTTAAAAATATAAAGCATATTTAAACACACCATTCTGTCACTAAGAGATCTGGAGAAAACTACAAAAAGTAATGATTAATTCTCAGGTAGACTAATTGACTTCCCCCTCAGTTAATGTGTAATTACCAGAGTAATAGTAATTAGATGTGAACCATATAATTGTAACTGCTTTATTGTTGCTGGATGGGGCTGATCATCCCAGGCATGACAATAGGTGGTAGTCTTGTGCTGCATAGTTACACTGACTACCAATAAACTCACAAGGCCATAACTCCCTTCAAACAGGAGTTTACTTCTCTGCCTCACTCATCATTCTATCCTTTAGAACAGTGGTTGTGTCTTTCCTGAAATGTTTCTCCTCTTATAGTTTATCCTCATTCATATATTGAGTTCATACTTACCCAAACATCAAGTGTGTGATCTGTGTCTGTAGATCCCCCTCTAGCAACTGAAACAAATTGGTGTGAATCCTTAATAGAATTAGTTTATTAGAAGAGATCAACATTACAGTGTGGGAAAGCAAGCAAGACAGAGCATGACACAGAGAGAGACAGTTTGTGATTTAGCATTACTGAGACCGCAGACACGGTTCCTCCTGCAGTAACCCACACAAGGTGTGAAGATGTGTCAAAACCTGTATAGTTACCCAGCAGATTTGGTACAAAAATTTACTAAAACAAAGTTGTTTTGTTTTTTCCTTTTTCCACCAGGGTACCTTGTACATGTTTGATGCAAACCAGTACTGTGCATCCCACTGATTAACAAACACATACTTTAATGTGCACTTTTCCTGAGTTTCAGTAGACTGAGCCTTTAGTCCTTGGTCATTATTTTTCACCTGATACATTATCTGATGACACCATGTATGCATCTGGGGGGGAAGTCTCATGTTTCAAAACTACATAAAATTCAGAAATAGTTGAAATTTAATCACTTTGTTTTGTAAAAACCAAGCAAAATATTAATTTTTACTATATTTAACTACAAATGCATATATAGCTAGAAACAAATGGCACTTGTTTCCAGTCTATATAAAGTACATTAATCTCTGAAACATGATGGTATACCTTTTACAAATACAAGTACAGCAGAATTTGTGCAAAACAAAAAAGAACTGATCAAAGTTCAACAGTTAAAAGGAGAGCAGTGAGCTGGCAGCTATGTAAGCGTCTACAGTAGGCTACACCTTAACATACTTTAATGAACAGCATGCATTTTAATAAAAATATTGTTTTAAAAGGATGATAAAATGCCTAATGTTCAACATAAGCTGACAAATTGATGCAAACAGTCAAGATAAAACATATGTTTAAAGGAATAGTTTGGGATTTTTCAAGTTGGTGTTAAAACAATATTGCTGTATCCCTGTTAGTGAGAACAGATCCTGGTCACTGACCCTGAATGTTTCCACCCAGAACGTCACCGCGCCACAAAAGAATGAGGGACAAACTCTTGTTCTGTAAAAACATGCGCTCCACAGTCTGCAGCTCAAACACAGCTTCAGCCGTCCCACTAAGCTAATTTGATTTGGCATTTTTCAAAGCTGCAGTCTAATTAAAAACTAATTTTCATCTTTTATTTCCCTGGGAGTTTCTCGCTGTGCTGCAGCGGAGGGATACCTTCTATCTTAGTGGCGCAGAGTCGCTGCATGTAAGGCCTAGTATTGTCTGCAACTGACTTTTCACTCATGTAAACCTATAATCAATATTGTGATGTCCTGGCTACAGTTATATGACCATGTGAGCTATAATAGCATATATTTGTTTCAACAAAGCTGAGTCAGTGTCACTGTTACACTGTAGGTGAACTGCTGACTGTCATCACTGTGGCCTTTTAGGAACATCGTCTTAGATTAGTTGATGGATAAACAAATGTGTTGTTGTTTATCCATTTATTTACATTCTTTTTTGCACTTACCCCCTCATCAGCTGTTAGGTTGACTGGTGATGGCACAGCTGTGCAGAGCAAACGGCCTTGTTAGGTCCATTCTGACTGTTCCAGGATCTCTCATGAGAAATCTGTGGGAGCTTCTGCCAATTGCTTGTTTCTTTCAGAACACACTGGATGCAGACACAAACCATGTTTTCCTTCATGTGAATCGAAGATGAAGCAGGAATAAACAGGAGAAACACAGGAGTGACTCTGAGATGTCACACGCACAAATATAATCCAAACACAGGAGCAGGTTTTACTGGTGTCCCAAAATCACAAACCGCAAAATTACTGTAGCTGTCAAGGTACAAACTCATTTCCACGTTATCCCTCCAGTGGTAAACACCAGCTAAAATTCAGATGCGACTACTACAACATATCCTTCCGCTGCAGCCCAGCAAAGTACTGTCCAGGGAAATAATAGAGAAATGGGTTTTAAATAGACTGTAACTTTGAAAAATACTGACTCAAATGAACTTTGTGGGACAGCTGAAGCTGCATTTCAGCATCAGATGAACTTTGGAGTGCATGTTTTTACAAAACGAGAGTTGTGTAGTTTGTCTCATTTTCTGCAGCGTAGTGACGTTCAATGTGGAAACATTCAGGGTCAGTGTGGAGAGTAGGAGAAGTGACAATGACCAGGATCTACACTCATGTACAAAGTGATACATCAATATTGTTTTAACACTAACTCGAAAAACCCCGAACTATTCCTTTAACCTAAATGTATTAACAGCTGGTGAATGCTAGTTATATAAAAACTACCAGGTAAAAAAAGATGGTGCCTTTTAGTGAAAAAGCTTCATATGCTAAAGTTACAGCAGAGGGAGCGTTCCTCCTGTCCTCTCCTGGATTCTCTCATTGTTTTCCATCCTCTCCTCTTCGGGTATTTGCCCTGGACCTGCCAGCAGCATCTCAGAAATAACGCACTCACTGCCACAGCTTCCCATTCAAGTCTGAATGAGGAGGTGGGAGAGAAACTGTATTATTAACACATAATGTTTCTTATCTGTGACTATAAAGATGTTACTGTTGGATGTTTATTTAGTGAAATGCAACTCTTTAACTACACAAAGTTGGCTCACCCTTATTGCAGTCTTTGGTCATGTCTCTCTCTTTAAGTAGGTTGTTTTTGTAGTCTGTGGATTGTTGCAGACACACAGGTTAAAAAGCAAAGGGCTTTTGTTGTTAAGGTAGTTGTTTGGAGCATAGATGTGGATGAGTCTGACTGTACCTGAATTCAGAGGTTCTTGGTTGTAGATGTTCAGCTCTGTGCAGTCCGGCGACATTTCACCTCCACTGCAGAACATGTTTTGTTTAAATGTGGATTTCATTTTAAAGAAAAAAGGTATATACAGTGATTATAGTACTGTCTTACCGATCAGATCTCCGCAGCTCATACTCTAACCCTGGAAAAACATTAACATACTGTTTCAAACACTAGTGCTCTACTCTAGCAACCATGATGAATATGACTTCTATTATTATTATTAGGTACAAGCAAACACCAGCACACACACACACACACACACACACACACACACACACAATACCTCTCTTTTTGCGCCGTCGAGTCATCACAATGACAGCAACAACAATGAACGCCAAAAGTAAGAAAGTTGCCAGGAAGTAGCCCAAATGCTGCACAAAATAACCTCGATGCTCTGGGAGGATGACGTTCACCACATGTGGACTCTCCACCCGATCAGTCCCTGAAGGCAGAAGATTGATAGAATAAGCATAAGCATAAACTTTATTGCCAAGTATTTCAAGAACACAAGGAATTTGCCTCCAGCTCAATGGCCCCCAATGTGCACAACATAAAAACTAAATACACAATATATACAAGCTAAAAAAAAATCACAAGTTAGAAGAGCAACATAGAATAGCTGTTCATCATTGTAACAGCCCGGGGAAAGAAACTCTCTCTGTATCTGGATGTCTTGGTGTACGGTGACCTGTAGCACCGTCCAGAGGGGAGGAGTTCAAAGAGTTTACATCCAGGGTGAGAAGGGTCCGCAGAAATCCTCTCTGCCCTCTTTCTGACCCGTAAGGTGTACAGGTCCTCCATGGAGGGTAAGCTGGTACCAGTTCTGACTGTTCGCTGGAGTCTGTTTCTGTCCTGTTTGGTTGCCGAGCCAAACCAGACAGAGATGGAAGTGCAGAGAACAGACTCTGATTCCTCTGTAGAATTGAATCAGCAGCTCCTGAAGCAGGCTGAACTTCCTCAATACTATCTAAACTAGATATTCCACATCTTAAATACCAAGAAAACTCAAGAAACCCTCTATTAAAATAACAACTCAAGGTATTACAAAGGATTTATGGCCATATTTTGACAGTGTTCATACTGAACTGTTACTGTAGACGAGATTAATGTAATGACAATAAAGAAGGATCAAATTGAAATGCATTTCGTCATAACTAAAAGGCTTCTTGTTTTTCATTTGCCTCTAAAAGCCAGAGACAGAAGAAGGACAAGCAGGAGTTAAATGTCAAAACGCTGGTCGGCAGTAATGACTTCCAGACCTGATGTCATGCAGCTGTTTTTTTCTTTGCTCCACAGAAAAACACTGACCAGAAAAGAGAAGGACAAGTGTGAGGACAGACACAAATTCAGTGATGTGGTTTGTCTGTATTAGTTTTCCCTTCACTATTGCTGATGTCTTCTTACAAACACAGAAGTCTAATTTCTAGTAGAAATACCAAACTACAACTACAAACCTTTCAGTGTCTGCTATAAACAATATGATAAAGCACAGTGAAATACTGAAGCAACTTTTGCAGAATAACCCTTCAATGTATGTTTACAGGGCTGCTGCTATTATGGCCTGCCAGCGTTCAGAAGCAGCCAGATCACAGGGAAAAGTGGATCATAAAATACATCAAATCTTTGCCTCTTGTACGTTTCTCTCAAATATCATCCATGCTCTCTCATTCAATAAACTATGCTGGACTAATGAGGAAACAACCAACGACAAAATATCATCTCTGATCATACTTTCAAAGCTTAGTCTGCCTTAATCACCCATATTCCAAGTGATAATCATCATAACTATTCACTGTTTAATGTACCTGAAATGCATGACACTATCTAACATACGCTGCACAGCGGTTATTCTGTGATTTTATCTTGTGGGATACATATCATTTGGAAGTCAGTGAATTGCAGGAAAGCATCTTCATTTTCAAAAATACAGACTTCTGTTACAATGCTGACAGCTCACAAATCACTTCAGTCAAGATTAGATAATGGTCTGCTGGTTTGTGCTATGAATAATTACAGCATTAAGATGAAACATTTCTTGTAATTTCAGATGATTGCTGGTGCCTGTGTGAGCACAAACAACCTGATTTTAATCGAATAGACAAGTTCAGACGTGCATAAAGAAGTAAACTCCTAGCTGAAGATGTGGGCAGGACGCCATCTATCCATGTGTGCATTTCTTCACAGCATATTTTACCAAGTTATTAAATCTCTTTAAAGGGGATAGTGGATCTATAGTCTAACATACCTTCATCCGCTCAATTTACTTTGCGCTTTCATGTCACAGCTGGCCCAGATGTTAAACAGATGTATCAGACTCCTGATAAACACGCCTCAACCATAGGCTGACACACATCAACTGAGAAACAGAGCAGAAACTGTGAGAAAACAAACAATCTTGAGATAATGTAAACAGTGGTTGGAATTTTTTGGAAAATGAGGTCAAACGGAGGAAAAAGAAGCAAGATATGACCATCCACTCCCTAAATTACTAGTTAGGAGAGCCTACTGCTCTGCTCGGGGCAGATAAAATGTCTCCAGCTGTAAATGAAGAAGCTGTAAATGAAAACACTTTGGTGAGGAAAATGAGACCACTTCCGCTGCAGCCAGCTTAAAGCTATTTACTGTAGACGGCTTTTCAAGCCAGAGCTGCGAACAGATGACTCCTAAAGCCCCACTTTGCCATTTGCACTGCTGAATTCACATTCAAACACTAACAGAAAGATTTCATTTTTTCTTTCCTTCCTACCTTCATTCCTGTATTCTCCCTGTCTTTCTTTCTTACTGAACTAGCTTCTACATTCCATCTACCTCCTCTCCCTCCCTCTGCAGCTCAAACACAAAAACAGAGGACTGATGAGAAACTGGCAAGAAAAGGAACTGATTTAACTGACCAGCTATGCCTGTAAATATGAAGAAAAAAAAAACACACACAGACAAAAACAGGGGCCGTGTTGTCATTCTACACACAGCTCTACCAAGAAACCATAAGGGGAATAACATTTACTGTTACTAGTGCCTGGAAACAAAGTTCTAGTTTTAATCTTGTCATGTTGTTTGTAAGTCTGAGCAGCTTACTTGGGTCTGGCTCTTCATTCTGGAAAATTCTCGGCACTGTAGAGGGGGCGGACGGAAGTGGAGGTCCCACAGTGAGCCTGAAGATACGTCTCTCATGCAGACCACAGTAGTGGTGGTGCAAGTGGCAGGAGTAAAGGCCTTTGTCATCTGGCTTCAAGTCAGATATGGACAGGGAGAAGTCCCCTAATGTAAAAGCATCCTCAGCCACACTCATCTTGCTCTGGGCAAAGAGTGGTCCATAATCCCGGCGCTCTCCAGAGGCATAGAGGTCCACCAGGCGGTCAGCCCTGTCGGGGCGCACTCCAGGCGGCTGGAAGTCCCAGTGAGCCACCTGCTGCTGGTCCTCAAGGAGACCCTCTCTCCACAGGGGGCGCCGGTTCACACAAGGCAAAACCACTGAGCTGCCCAGCAAGACCACAAATATAGTCTTGTCTCCATCCCAGTAACGTCTCTCTTTCCGAGCTGGAAACAAAGCAGAAACATGAAATGCACTGCTAAATAAGGCATCTGATAGATCATGACACATGGAATAAGAGGAAGATGAACAGGAGGCCTCACATGACTTTGTGACGTTGAGCTGGATTTGAACGGACTGGTGAAGCTGGCAGTAATGATGGTGCAGATTGCAGGTATAAACTCCTTTATCAGTTTGGACCACATCTGGAAAAGACAAGGACCCAAACAACTGTAAGATGAAATTAGAAGAGGAAGACTGCAAGGTTTACAGTGCTACTGAGAAATAAAGGAGTCTCACTGTTAATTATTAGGGAGAAGTTGCCATCACTGAAAGCAGAGTCTGGGATGGAAATGCGTCCCCTGTTGAAGTCATTGTAGACCCTTTGGCGGGCTCCAGGGGACATGTCCAGGACTCGGTCTACAGAGTATTCAGGGCTGCTGCGGACCAAGTCCCAGTGCACCACCCTCTGACGATCCTTGAGTCTGTCCCTCGTCCACACCATGCGGGGGCTGTGGCAGGGCAGGACAGCCTTAGACCCTGCAGGGAGGGTGATGTTCTTGGCCTCCACCACCACACCAAGTCTGCTGCTACTGCTCTGACCCCATACTAACAACATATAAAACACATGGTTTTTAGATGATCATTGCAGAAATAACTGGAAACCATCAAGAAATTAAGACACTGCATAGATAAATAAAAATGTCTTACCTCCTGGCAGGAAGAGCACGGCAAGAACTGAAACAAAAACAAGAATGATCAGAGTTGTATCCTATTGAGGCTTCTCATTCAAACTGGCTGCTGTAGGTTTTTCATAGATTTCAGCACATTAAAGCTTAAGGAACATTTAGAGCAAGAGAGAAACATGAAGGGAGTAGCTGGGGAGTCTAGCTTTGACCTGGGCCGATCCAGCAGTGAAAGATTACAGAGCTGGATCAGATGTGGGTTCAGTGAGAGGGCTGTTTAAAGAGACAGAGGGAAACTGAAGAAATGGGGAAGTACAAGATTTTACAACAAAGAAGTTCCACACAGCAGAAAAAGATAGACCAGATGTCAAGAATATTCTCTGGAATTATATTTGGCTGTTTGTGTTTTCTCATTCTAGAGATAACAAAAGCTCCTACAGTGCATTTGCTATTTCTAATACGTTTTTCCCACAGTGCTATTTTGTCGTCTGTTTACTGACGTGCCAGTGGAGACGCCTGCAGCCAAAGCATACAGAGTCTCTATTCATCCTGGCTGCTGCTGGCTTGTTGCAAGGCCATGAACCTGAGAGGATGAAGAACAAAGCTGATATTCAACTCTCTTCAGTCGCACCTACTAGTGTCAAAAGCCCAGGACCATAAACAAACACCAGTGGATTTTTACTGCACTGAAGTGCAGAGACATTTTTCTGAATGAGTACATCTCATACTTTCATTTTGTTAATAATACTACTACTTAAATCGAATAGTAATGCAGGACTTTTCTTTATATTGCAGCATTAGTAGTTTTACTTGAGTTAATGATCTAAATACTTCTCCACTACAAACAGCTGACACTGAAGGCTTAACATCCAAGCTGCACAAACTCGGTCTAATACAGGTCACAGGACCAGAGAGGGTGTTTTTGATTCACTCCGTGTGAGCACAACCACTACGTTTCTATGCAGTAATTTCTTAAGTATGCGCAAAGCTGAGCAAAATGATTTTAGCACACACACTGGCATCAAAGAGGAGACCTCATGCTGGAAAACTTTGGTGGGTTTTATATCAAAGGGTTTGATTTGATTTGATTTATTTTTTCAAGCATGTAAAGACAGTTGATATGACAACACACATAATTTTACACATATCCAACAAATGCTAATCCAATATCAATTTGCTTATACCTAGTACATGCTTGAATGGAGTAGGAAGAAGTCAGACTTATCCAGTCCTACCCCATGACATCATCTTACCATCATTGGTTTGCAAGCAGTAAATGATTCACTTCTACACACACACATATTATACTAAAAAAAGAATATAACAGTGTTAACATTCTTACATCACACAAGTGATATACTAAAGAATGGTTACAAAATATACACCACACCCACAATAGTCCATGTAGTTAATCATTGAGCCTGTTCTTGCATATATCTTCCTTTGACCTCATGATTCTCATTTGCTCTGACATGCACTGTGAGCTGTAGGGTCTTATATAGACAGGTGTGTGGCTTTCCTAATCACGTCCAATCAGTATAATCAAACACAGCTGGACTCAAATGAAGGTGTAGAACCATCTCAGGGATGATCAGAAGAAATGGACAGCAC